TTTTATATAACTATAAACGAAAACAAACACCCGCGCGGTTGCGCGGGTCAAAATCTAGTATATGTTAATACTTACAGTATATCAGTTTGGCAATGTTTCAACTTTTTCAACCTCAATTTCTCTAATAATCTGTTTAATTTGAGAAAAATTCAGTTTTCTGCTCAAACTAAAATCAGTATTGATTTTCAGTTTCGGTTTGGTTTGGTTTTTACAAACCGTGTTTAAAGAAGAACAGGTTCAAAGAGAGTTGAAAGACACAAAATAGTTGACAAAAAAAAAAGAGGCACACAATCAAAAGAGAGTTACTGACTTAGTATAGAGGACGATTAGATCATCTCTCAGTTTCGTTGCCTGTTGGCGACGAGACATTCTTCATATTTTATCGCCAACGGGTAACAAAACAGTATTCAAGTCTCTTCACCCGTTAGCGACAAGACACTCTCCATATTTTGCTGCTAATGGCGGCAACAAGACCACCTCCTCCTCGCTGACCTCTCCTTCGAATCTTGATCAAACTAATACTTGTTTTGTTTTAATTGGAACTAGATCATAACCCGTCCAATTGGGCGGGTCTTTGTTTTTATGGTATAGATAACATTTCAAAGTTACAATTTAATGGTTCCAATTTTATTAAGTAATAGTATATTGTTTAAACATTGTATTTCATTATTGTATTGTGTAACAGGGGCGTCGTAAAATGTAGTGACCCGTAAACATTTTAGTAATAGTTTATAAAGTTTTTTGACTAAATTTGGTGTAAAGTTATATACACTAAATAATTTAGTCAAATTTTTAATTTAATTTTTTAATAAAGAATTGGAAGGCTAGTATATCACTGTTAAAAACTTATAAGAATAGTCAATATAAATTATATAAATAAAATATATATTATTCTTGATTTATTCTAAATACATTTAAAACATGAATACATATATGTATAAATAATTTGTAGAAATAAAGTAATATTAATGATAGAAAATCCAAAAACAATAATAATGGTACCTTGGGCCGCAGTAATCTTTACTATAATAAATAAGTCCATTAAATTTGTATGCTATTAATGTTTTCAATCAAACTTTTAAAATTTTCTTATTCATGTTTCCAAACACTTTATTTTTGTACTTCAGCTTTAATAGTATAGATTTTCGTCAGATTTTGAGGTAAAAACATCAAAATTTTGTTTTTTCTTAAAATTTCAAATCACTCATATAAAACGGTAACGGTTAATTAGACACCATTGTTATTTCAACTATATTTATAACTGTTTTTAATAATATATATAAGAAATCCACAATAACATATCATTTAAAGCAGATCATAATTATTTGTATGATTAATTTAAAAATAGAAAATAACTATTAAACTTCTTATTTTTATTCAAGCATATCGCTGAGTCCATTCTCGAGCTGTCTGCTCAAATTGAGATTTGTTACGTTTGCAGATCGCTCCAATTTCTGAATCAAGAGGATCATCTGGGTTTGGGTCCGCCAATAAGGAAGTAATGGACAAAAGCACCTGTTTATTCATTTATTAACTCTAAGTAAGGTGTTCAAAAAAAAAAAAAAAAACTCTTAAGTAAACAAAGTAGTATTAAAATACTCTAAATAATTTATTAAATTTATAAATAAAATTTAAACCTTTTCAACTGTGAGAGGGGGGCTCCACTTGTCTTTAAGAATGTCAAGACATATCGATCCTTCAGAATTAATATTTGGATGATAAATTCGAGTTTTGAACTTAAACTAGAAAAAGATCAAAAATGAAACACATAAAACATATTGGTTTTAGTACTAACATATTACTGATACAACCTCTTAAATTTCAACTTATTTTCATTTTAGTAGATATAACCTTTGGTGCTGTAAAAGGATAATTATTAGGAAATATAATTTCGATGCTAAACATGCCCCCCGCGTATGGTGTACCATGTGGACCGGGAATCATCGCATTCCATTTGAACAAATCGTTCCCCTCTCTACCTAAATATTTTTCAACAAATAGCACTTTTATAGTGGAGAAACATAAACTTATAATATTGTGCTTCTTAATATATAAAAAAGACTATTAATAACAGTATATGCACTAGCAAGACAAATTATGCATATTTATTTGTGAGAAAAAAAAACAATTGCGGTGAACCTAATGTTACCTTCACTCGTATATTATGCAAATATCATGATATTGTATAATCCAATCGCAAACTATTTCACATGATGTATGCGTTATATTTTTTGGTATTTATTTATTTTTGCTGGCATGTGACCTTTTGAATTGTGATGAAAAAAATACTAACCGATGCTGTACAAAGAATCTTTCGAAGTCATATCCTTGAACTCCTTCTCAATCCGCTGCATCGCCATTTTGTTCGACATCTTTACGATTAATCACAAATGTATTCCCTTTTTTTTATCAAATGAAACAAGAAAGAATATCTTTGTTAGTACTAGTTCATTTGTTTTGTAATAATATATGTGAAGGACAATGACTTAAAGAATTTCTTTTTTTTGGACAATACAAATGGCTTAGAGATATTTGACACAATTTGAAGAAAAAGGGATTGATATCAATTGCTTACTTGGAAGATGTTATTATGAATTGTGTTGGAATCAAATGAAGGAGCCTCGGGTTTTATAGCTTCCATTCTCAGCAAATCCACCTAATAAATGTCTTTCGTAATTAATTACGAAATCTCATCTATTTTATTAAATCAGAAATATTAGATTTGATCAAATCTTTATTTTGTAAGTTTTTAAATTAAATATATTTTTTCTATTTTATAGTTAAATTTACATTAATCACTAATATTTCTTTCTTTATATTACTATCAATATTTTCAAACCGTATATTTATTTCTTTATACTATTATCCATGTTTTCAAACAATATATTTATTTCTTTATACTACTATCCATGTTTCCAAACAACACTTATAATTATCTTATGTCTAAACAATACAAAATATTAAATTACACTCTTTTTAATAATTTCTCACAAATTTGTTTTTAAATTATTTTTACTGGTTCAATTTATTACTAGATAACTCTAATTTTTTTCTAATTACTTTTATACCTAGTTTGTCTTTAGGTCTGTAACAAAAAAAAATATTAGTAATGATTTTGCCATTAAACAAACTTATTTTTTCTAATGCCTTATTTAGTCAAAAACTTATTTTTGACAGATTTATTTCTATTTAGCCATAAATTTACTTAAATTTTGACAGATTGGTTTTTAAAAATTTATTATGTTTTGGCCATAAACGTATTTAATTCTGGCATATTTCTATAACATCCACAGATTTATTTATTCATTTGCCACAACTTTCCTTTAATGGTACAGATTTAATAAGGATTGACAGCTTTTTTTCATAGATTTTCTTTATTTTGACAGATTTAATTAATTTTTTTTAGATTTAGTTTCTTTTAAACACAAACTAGATTTTGATCCGCGCATGTTTGTTTTCGTTTATAGTTAATTATAGAAAATTTTTGTTTTCACTTGGTATATATTATAGTAATCACATATTTACGATGTGTATAGTAAATGTTTTTGAAACATAATAATATTATATAATACGTGTTTTAATCAAATAGATTGTTTCAAATTTCTATATTATACATGTTTTTCAAACATGTGTTTTAATTTCTATATTATACATATTTTTCAAACATGTGTCGGGCTCATCAGAGCTATCACTTCGATCACAAAGCCGAAAAATCTTCACGGAGTTTTGTCGGACATCGAAGCTCTATCGTCCTCATTTCTTTTCTGTTTTTTCTCCTTTATTCCCAGATCTCAAAATGGGTCTGCAGATTGTGTGGCAAAATCTGCCCTTTGTAACATAACCTCTTTTTGGGCATGGGCCTAGTTTTAATCAAATCTTGGTTGTTCAAAAAAAAAAAGATTAGTATTTCATTTTTAAATAAAATAATATAAATAGAGCTTGATTAAATATTAGTATACTTTAATTTTCAAAGATAATATAAACTTCGAAGAAATTTTTGCTAAAAATTAAACTTATAGCTTCATAAATTAATATTATAAAAAAAATTATTAAAAAAAGAATTTTTTAAACAATTTTTTTTTAAAACAATAGAATTTTAAAAATTTACATCGAAATAAATTTATCTAGTATATATAGCGTGTAAATTTTGTTAAAGTATATAAATATTCCATATTACGAATCCGTGATTTTTGTTAATATATTGTGGTTGCATTTAACTATTATTGACATATTTCCTTATAAATAATAGAAGATTCCTAAACTTATATCTATTGACATATTTTGCGTGACTAAATTAGAATGTGTGGGGTTTACCCAAACTAAATTGTTAAGCATATCTTTGTTATTATAGATATAAATTTTTCATAAGATATAATAATGATAAAATTATTAGAGAGTTAATGTAACATGACATTTTAGTAATAGTCCATTTAAAAAAAAAAAATCACACATGAAGTCAAGTCATGACTTTTGTTTTAATATAGAAGATTTACTTCATTCTAACAGATTTAATTAAATCTTGATAGATCTTTTTTTCTTTTTTTTTGCAATAGATTTACTTGGCTACAAAGAATTACATTTTGTTTTTAACACTGGATAATTATGTATTACAAATTATGAGAAATATTACATAGACGATATTACAGCCGACAATTTTATATGTTTTATGTGGATGGATTCACATCTAACTGCATCACCATGCAATGCTGAAGATCTCTTGTAAGTTTTTTCTCCAATCTTGCATAATCCACTTTCTCAAGAAATTGAAACCCTTTTGATGTAAAAACTGCATAGTCTGGAATTCGAACCATAAACCTGGTATAGAAGCATTTAAACATTAACCACTATGGTACGGTACTTCCACAAATAATTACACTTAAGGATGAATGTTTTATGAGCATCTATCTATGGAACGGTACTTGTTTGAGATTTATATCTAGAACTTGAAATGCTCTTTTCGGGTATTATAGCATCCCATGGAGAAACCTGTGAAAAATAATGACAATTGAGTCCTGATCTATTCACAGGCATCAGCACTAAAACCACATAGCTCTGAACTTGTCCTTTTTTTTTGGTCTAATTGTTAAAATTCATACCAATTTTTTTTTATTTTACATTGTTGTTGCCAAAGCAACTTATTTCATAAGAAAAAAATGCCACAAGCTGGCTAACTATAAGGTTCAACAAAACAGAAATAAAGCTGCAGCAAAGAGGGATTGTTGAGGCTTGAGGAAGGGAAAGACAGTAATCTCTCGCGCATACTCCGCTAGGAGGAGCCCGAAGGAACCTTTCAAGAAACTTAGACCAAATGTTCCTATAGAATTCACATTGCAAGAACAAGTACTGAGAGTGTGAGATTCAATTCCAATTGAGCAAATAACACATTAGTCAGGGACATTAAGAGACCAAGCACGAAGCCTGTCTCTAGTTGCAAGTCTCGTTAGCCAAGTCTTACAAGAGATGAATGAGCTGACACTAATTGTACTTTCCCAATATTCTTCATGTTTTGTCACATCATCATAAAATCAAAAACATAGGCAACAACTGTTTTTGTACATTTTTTAATGCTTGCGTTTGTATGTTTGATGATTAGTATTAGAATTATCGTATGGCACCTTCCTTTTTCAGTTATCACGACTTATGGTAATTTACGCATTATCTTCCTAGAACGTATTTGACTAATGGCGGCTTACGTAACGTCGACTTAGTCGTGGTCAATATTTTTTTTCTTCAACGGTCGTCGTAGTCTATTTATATGATGTACATTGGGAATGAAGCTGACATGATTCATTCCAAGTTGTACTAAGATTATAATTTATACAAAAATAGATTTGGTCTCGTTCAAAGTTCAAATGATTAATTGTCGGAACTGCAAGGATGAGAATGTACGAAGTGTCTGAACTAATTAATACACACAGACTATATGCGTTTATTAACATATACTCCGCAAAAAAAAAAAATGATATTTATTCGTTATCTTATGTCTTCTTGGTAGATGAATCAGATTTTTTAATTGTATTTTAGATAGGCCAATCTCCACCACCACCCATGTTCGTCTCATTGTTCTTGTTTGACTTATAAAGATCGTGTCATTTTTTATTTTACTATTATTTCTTGTTCCGAACGTATCTGCATGAATCACAAGCTTCACAGCTATATGACTAAAGAAAGTAAACAAAAATATATGAATAAAGTAGATGTTACATAAAATCGATTTTCCTTTTGAAGAAAAATCACAAAATACAACAAATCAGTCTCCTTGTCCATGGGAATGACATCTAATATCTTCTAAGAAAATTAAAGAATTACGTAAAATCTATTTTTGTATGAACAATGCACAAATAAAATTTGGGAAAAATACTTCTTGATAGAAAAAGAGTTATAGACACTTAAACCGGTAACCTAAGCGAACCAGCTGTACCGGTATGCTTAACATAAACCGACGATGTTCCTTCACCATCCCTATCAACTTCAACTCTCGGCGAAGGAACCGGCGTATTCCTCCACAGAAACGACGGGTTTCTAAAAAAATTAAACCGGTCTACTCGTACCGAGTCACCGGTTGGACTTGTTACTACTGCTCTAATCGAACTTTCTTCCCGGTTCCGCCACATAAACGACTGCGTTTTACGAAATAACCACCGATCCGACCGAGCCCTTGATTTCTCAACCGGTTTACAACTTCTAGAGCTTCCTCCTCTCGGTAAAACCAATAAACTATTTGACCGGTTTATTATCTTCTCCCTTAAATCTTCCGGTAACCTTAACGTAAACCGCTCGGTACATTCTCCACGTGATACCACCAAACGCCCCGTCGTATACGACCTCGAGAACTTGACACGTGTATCAACACTCCCACCGAGCTCAACCACCGGTTCAGGAACCACTGATTGTAACGACTCGATATCAATTTCGGTTAATACTTCCGGTTCGGAGAGATTCGTGCGACAAACCGGACAAGTCACGTGACCTTGAAGCCACTCTCCGATACAGTGAGGATGGAACACGTGATCACATTTAGGAAGCAAACGCAGCGTTTCGTCGTCCTCAAACTCGTTCAGACAAACCGCACACTCCAACGCACCTCTCCCGATCTTCCGCGTCTTCACTTCAGAGTACACGAACGTAGGAAACGCCTCGATCGTCGACGCGTCGAGACCACGCGCTACCGTCGCGTTCGCCACTCTCCTCGCTCCTACCACTCTAGGATTAATAACGCTTCCGTCGTCGACTGCTCCCGTGTAGCGGCGGAGGTAGACGGTGAAGAATCCCATGAAGAAGAGGATCGCGATCACGACGACAACCGCTACCGCCATTGCGGGACTTAGCTTGCCGTTGTAACCGTACTGGTCGTTTGGTTGGTTCGGTTGGCCCGAGGCTAGCTCCGAGGTGGCTAATAGTAGAAACAGTAAGCTGGCGAGAAGATATGTGTGTCGGAAGCTCTTCATGTTTCTGAATACTGAAAGAACAGTTATGATATTATTATTTATTTTTTTAAATGGAGTGTTTATAGAGAGATGTTTGAAAATTTGGAAGGCTTTTTGGAGAAGAAGCGTGGAAGAAAGACTCATAGAGGGTGGGGTGGGACCAGTTAGGGGAGAACCGGAGAAAGTCATCAGCAAATGTGTCACTTCACGTGAACAGAGATTTTTCCAACTGCAGTGAATGTCATAATAATAATAAATAATAATAATAATAATAATAATAAGAGTTTTGACATGGTCTCTTAATTAATTTGTTAACATTATTGTACAATTCATATTTGCCACTATTTTAAAATGTAAATTATAATTTTAGACAGTTTACTAAATATATATTCATAGAAAATGCAATTATTGCTAGGTTCAAAGAAGTATTTAAATTACTTATCACCAGTTCTAAGTTTTTGTTTCATCTTTAGCTATCCTAAGAACATGTTTAATTAATGATGTCTCTTAAGAGGGTCTTTTACTATTAAAATATGAAAGAATAATTAAAACTGTGAGATGTTTCAAATAAAAAAAAATTAAAACTGTGAGAAAGAAATAAAATATGTCTCTTATTTAAGGGATTTAAAAGACATCTCTTAGATTAATCTCTTATTTCTCTTCCAAATGTCTTTTTGTGAATGGTTTATTTCATTTTATTAAAATAAATTTTAATCATATACTCCCTCCGTTTCATTTTAATTGTCATTCTATGTTTTTGCACACAGATTAAAGAAACATTTAATTTACATATTTTCAAGAAAAAAACACAATTACCTATATACATAACCTCTTTTCAACCAATAGAAAAATAGAATATCATATAAAATTAATAAATTTTATCTCGAAATTCTAAAACAACACTTATTTTGAAACGAAAATTTTCCTCCAGAATGACAATTATTTCGAAACGGAGGGAGTAATTATTTTAATAATAATAGTGATCTAAAGAATTCTATTGTGGTATACACCATTAAACATGCTTTAAGAAACAACTTCAATGATAAGTAAAACTACTTGAATTTGGTACTGTTCATGGTCTATTTGCAGTTTATCTAATAAAACTACTTGAGTTTGGTACTTAATAAACTCCTTAACACTTTTAAATATCGTCAAAAGCAGCTATGGCAAAAGGAAAGAAACAATCAAATTTTGAAATTGTCAGTTGCCACAAAAGAAGGGACAACCATCAAACTTAAACATGATAATGAAATTGGCGAGGAGGACGAAACACACATTTTAGCAAAACTTCCAAAAAACTTTCTCTTATTAGCCACTATCCGTAGGTCCTACTTTGACATTCACATCCTGATAGAAAGTTCTTAGCCATTACTTCATAGTTCTTTTAAAAAAAAAATATCTTCATAGCCGCATAGTCATAGGTCTACCCTGATCACTAACTAAAATGAGTTCTTAATTATAACTTATATGAAATCATTCCTATTTAACTAGGAAAAACATCGTATTTGCATCAGTAATTAATTTTATAAAAATCTATTCAATTTGTAAAAGTAAAAGTAAAAGTCTTTCAATTTTAATCTACCTTGTATACTTATTGTCCACTGTCCAGAAATATAACAGAAATAAGCTTTATTCCATTTTAAATTTATTGGAATATTAGATGCAGACAGTTCAGGGGGAAAAAATATCAAAGGCACACATTATTATCACTCTTGTGAAGAAAAAAACCACTCAAATAAATCTAACTTAACTGGCACGCGACCAACTTTATTACATTGGCCCAAACCAGCATGTGCTAAAAAACATCACGCACTTATTATTACCAAAGTGAAATCAACGCATCGTCTAAATGTTCTTCTAGCGCATGGTTCAAGGTTCTTGGTAAGTAGGTATTGGGACACCCGAATCATCGGTCAGCTTCTTGTAAGCACTTTGCAGCTTCCTTGCAACCGGTCCTACTTTTCCTTCACCGATCACACGCCCATCAATTTTCACAACCTAAAAGCAATGAAACTTGATAATAAGCATCACGAAACGAACCAAGATCGTGTCATAAAAAGTAGAGATTGTGTATGTACCGGGCTGAGTTCTCCCATAGTTCCTGTAGTCCATACCTGAAATAAATAAAAAAAATTGATATGATTGTTAATAAATAATTAGTGATCATACAAACATTCTAAGACCAAGTAAAAGAAAGATGATGGAAATTAAACCTCATCAGCTGTATGAAATTCCGACAAGCTGATGTTACGTTCTTCCAAGATGAAATTCTCTTTCACCACCAGTTCCATGACCTAGACATTGGTGAGATCGATGATTAGTTATGTTATAGTCATGGAGATAGGTTAGAAGAAAGAATGTAAAATCTTCTTCTCTCTTACAGTAGCTCTGGTAATGCCAGGGAGACAATAGTCTGCATGGGGAGTGAGAACTACACCATTCTTCACCATGAACTGCATCAAACAAATCTCATTACGTCTTTTTAGAAAGTAAAAATGTTCAATCCGAGCCTTTTGGAAGATCTTACAAGGTTGGTTGCATTGGTTTCAGACACAAAGCCATTCTTGTCAAGCATGATTGCATCATCTACATTAGCGTTGTTGCTTTCAACCTGTGCCATTATCACATAAAAAAACATCTAAAAACTATGTCTTAACAACACATGATGCTGTGGCAAATGACTGAACCTTTGCGAGTATGTTATTGAGGAGGTTGTTGTGATGAATCTTGGAATCTAAATTCTGGAAAAAAAAACAACGGATTAATAAAACTTTGAGTACTCTCAGCTAAACATAGATGAAACTGTAAAGGGGACTATACGGTGGGAGAGTTGCGACGTGTAGTTGCAGTCACCAGCACAATTCCACTATCGTTGTCATATACTGGAGGCTTCCACTCAGCAAGGACTATTCATTATTTTTTCAAAAAAATAATACTCAAAAACTATATTCCATAGACTATAGTTTAATGGTTGCAATAGACAAATAGAATTAACATTACCTATCAATGTACATCCATAACGGTTAAACTCAGGGCTCATTCCAGAAGTGACCTTAACAAATCCATAGCTTGTTTAAGTTTAATATTACTTTGAAGTTTGGTAAAAGGTGTAAATATTACCTTTTTGCCTCGAGTTAGAGACAGTCTTATATGTGTATTGTCAAACATCCCATTGGTTATGAGAGTTTTGAAGATGGCTGCTTTTATCTGTGCATTATAACTTTCATTCAAAACACTAGAATCCAAAACTATGACCATGATTTTATCTTCATCAAAATGCTAGTTACCTCCTCGCGGGTTGGGACATTGTTAAAAGCTAGAGCCTTTGCTGAATCAAGCAACCTAAATGCAACACTTCAACATGTTAATAAAGAATAATTTGAAGAAGTGCTAGAGTTTTAGTCTTGCTTGCTTCTTACCTATCTAGATGTTCTTCAAGCTTGAATACTTTCCCTTTGTAGATTCTAAGACCTTCCCATACAGAGTCACCGCCTTGCACCACGGAGTCAAAAACAGAAACCTTAAACAAGAATATATGAACATCAGAATTTTTAAAGAGGATACATAAAACAAGTAAACATGTATAGTTTAAGCACCTTGGCCATCTCACGTGGCAAAATCTCATCACCAATCCAAGCAAAGATTTTAGCATTTTCAGGAAGTGGGAGACTGGGAGGAGCTAAGGGGCTGGCCAAGAGAGATGACTTGCCCTTCACGTGACGTCTGAGAGTGTTGTATAGTGGTAAACAATGCTCCAGCAAATCGTAATGCCTCATATTGAATGTCTGAAAACACACACATTGTAGTTTGAATAATGCTTTGAGTTTCTGAATCATTTAAATAAAATAAATCTCGGGTTCGTACTCGAGGGTATTTCCTAGGAGATGAAAAACCAGTTGATTCGTGAACAGTTTTATACCACCATGAAGCCCATACTCCATCTTCTGGTATAGGACCAGCCTCCCATCTTCAAGAAACACACAATGATACATGACTATGTGGTTAATAGGTTATGATTAGAATAAGAGTTGGTTAGAGAGTATTTTAATTTTTTTTTTCTTTTTACAATTGATTTTTATGTTTTACATTTTATATAAGGTCTAAGGTTTTTTTCATTTTGCCATTATATTATACTCCTATAGAAGTTGTTCTGATGATTAATTATATACTAACTACCAAAGATTAAGAAACTTCCAAAAGTTATGAGAAGCCTCGTGTAATCTCAAAAGGTATTAGAAATTTGTGTAGGTACATAAACATCTATTTTTTTACTATAGACTTTAATAAGATCGTCAATGTACTGTTAATATGTCATTACGCTATTTTCACTGTGGAAAGACCTATATATTAGCTTTTTGGAGTTTATATGTCGAATTATTTCTATAATGCAATTGTTTCAAACAAATATTAATAAAATACAATGTAAAAAAAAAGAAGTTAGACTAATCATTTTTAGTTACTTTTCAAAATGAAGAAAGATTCAAATCATACAAACAATGAAGCATTAAATTGATGTTTAAGGTCAAATCCAAAAGAATGCTAAAGGGTCTCTTACTTAAGAATGAAGAAAGATTCTAATCATACAAACAAAAAGAGGCTTGAAACATGTCAAAATATTTCTATAATGCAATGGTTTCAAACATATTAATAAAAAAAAATGTTTAAAAAAAAACACTTATCCTAATCACTTTTTAAAATATTCTAATCATACAAACAATGAAGCATTGTTTTGAAGTTTATGGTAAAATAGTCTTACTTAAGCATAGAGGCTTGAAACGGGATATCCAAGTCACGGCAAAGACCACGTAGGGTAGCCTGAATATATATAGATGAATGTCACAGAAATAAGCATCTTCCTACATAATCTAATTGAGTATTCTTGTCAAAGTTTTCATAATACAACAATGAAACCTCGGGATTTCGCTGAAGGTCATCTGCATCGATGACTGGTGGTGGTTTTCCCATCTGGCAGAGATCGCTGTATATTGAAACTAAGTCTGCTAATCCCACGTCCAGAAACGATAATGGGATTACCTTATCAAAAGAAGGCTGCACAAACATACAAATAAACAATAAGAATGAGAAGAAACATCTCAAACCCTTAAAGAATCACACACATAATGTCAAGATAAACCCAACATTTTAAATTGTTTTTTTTTTTACTAAATTGTTTATGGCTTCCAACATTTTAAGACAAAAACCAATTCAAAAGAATCTCATAACACCAGAAAGTGAGCATGGGAAGCTTTACCAATATGTGAACGGGATTGCGTATCAAGATGAAATGCTTTCCTTTACTCATTAGTTCACTTGGCAAGCCAAGAATACGATGTTTTGCCAAATTCTGTGCATAGAAGAGCCATAAACACAATAAAAATCACACACTTTTATCTCAAAACAGAGTGTGGTATAGGACGAAACTGAAGTCTTCAGAAAGAAAAGTGAGTTTAACCTTACAGAACCTATATTTCTTCTTTCCTGGACCATAAATGATGTCTTTCACCACCTTATGTCCATCACTTTCCTATCAAAAAAATGCTGCGGTTAGTATTACTTTTTTCCTCAAGGAACAAATTCATCAATGTCTTAAAACATCTCTAACTCCACTTCATTGTTCATTTCAAAAAAAAGAATTTAGATTTTCTACTTCATAATAGAGTAACAATATAGTTTTATTTTATTCCAAAATATAATAAGATTTGAGTAGAAAAAAAATCAACTCTATTACGAAATTACTCTATTTTGAAGAGAACAATAAAATAATATATTACAAATGCTCTAAATAGATTTTACTAACATACCATGCTAGCGAAAATCTCATCTTTGTATGGCCTATCAGCACCTGTAGCTTTAAGGAACGAAGCGTTTAATGGCTCGTCCAACACTTCAATGTCATCTCTCTGAGTGATTTAAACCAAAAACATATTTTCAAGATACAAATCACATAAGACAAACATTTTCTTGGTCAATCGAGAGAACTGTTTCTTGACTTCCCCATAAGATGGGACTCGAAAAAGTACCTGAGCAAATGAATACATGAGAGCGGTGCTGAGTGATCTTGGACATGACCATGAGTGAATCACCTCCATTGAAGACGATCGCTTTGAAAATCAAACAGGGACTTTCGCTCTGTGATAAAAGTCAACGTTAACTCAAATGATTGTCTTTGTACGTGGTTCGCTTATTCTGTTCATGCTTGTCTTTATATATTACAAGAATCTTGGAGTTATGTTATAAAGATAAAAGATTCTCTTTTCACTTTTGGATAAAATTAGACATATTTAAAAAGTTTACTAGATTAGCCTATTGGTCAGAAGTTAACGTTTCTTTATTCATTTTAGGTTCTCATTTGTTTACAGATTTTTGAAAAAAGGTTTTGGTTATAGTTTTATTCATTTTCTTTGTTCAAAAACTCGCCCTATATTTTATTAGCCATCCAAGTTTTTGACAAAATAGGGACTATTTTGTACTTCTACGTTATATTAAAAATTTAAATTAAGACTGGGTTGTTGCGTACTTGTATGCTTTCACGTTGATCTTACACTATTGTATTTTGTTACTTTCATTTCTTAAGAGGAGAGTATGCAAAATAATGTGAAATTGCCTTGTATACAATATACTGTATTAAATTAGTGGCTGGTGGAGTTTTTTGTTTGAGAAAGAGGCTTAAAATAGACAATCATTGAATGCAGTGAAGAGTCTTAAAATAGACAATTATTTGTTTTTTTATCTTAAGTGACAAAGCTTTCCTCGTGCTTTAATTTTTATATTTACATTTGTTCATTTAACTTCTCGATGATTTGTTTATTGATCGCTACCATAGATCCACGACTTCTATTGGTTGTTTTTTTTTCAATTCTCACGTTAGTTTATACTATTTGTTTATGGTAGTGCTGATCACGACCACGATGTATATTTTGTTATCTTCTGAAAGCGACGAATCTATTTTAGTGCTTCTATTTTTTAGTCTTCGTTGATTTAACTACTTGCACTAATTAGTCTAACTTATACTATTTGATTATGTTAGTATTATCTGTCAATGGTCGCTCTAATTATAAACTCATAAACCAAACGTTCCCTATTTGTTAGTTTACCTACTTACACTAATAGTTTTTTTCTTTAACACCTTAACAACTCCCTTACACTAATAGTATACTATTTGTTTATGGTAGTGCTGATCTGTTTACGACAGCGCTAATTAAAATATATATTGACCCACGTTCTCTACTTGTTATTTATTTGAAAGTAACCAATCGTTTCTCGTGCTTCTAAGTTTATAGTCTTTGTTAACTTAACCACTTGCATTAATTTATCTTTTTATGATAGTGCTGATTTGATATATTTGTTTTAGTTATTCTGTTTAGAGAATATGCCTCCAGTAACATGTTTCACGTCGAAGTCAAGAAAAAAAAAACATGTTTCACGGATGCACAAAAGAGAAAAAAGAAGAAGAAGAAAAAAAAATTACGATGCGTTGGTGAAATCAATGCAAGATTTATAGAAGATTTCTTGTAACCTACAAATCTTATTGGAGCTGAGCTGGTAAAATTGATGATGAGTTTGATGTCCAATGGAAGATGAAAATGAAAAAAAAATATGCTGAGAATGTTAATACAGAAACTAAAGATATGAATTCTAAGTTAAAAAAAAAAACAAAAAAAATGTGAATGATTAGTATCATAACCAAACCAAACTACGACTCCCCGAACGTTTCAACGGTCCAAGAATCTTTAGTTTCAATTACAAAGAAACTACACTGTTTTAACTAGGTAAGGATGTAGTCCGATATCGCACGGAGACATATTTTACAAAACAAATATATCATATTATATAATTTATATTTTTATAAAAATATTGTTTTTTCAACTATAAATACTACTAAAATTTTATATTGGTTTTACAATTTCAGATTATAATTCAATCTAATATTCCAATACTAATTCTATCTTATTATTATTTTGTAAGTTATTTTAAATTATAAATACAATTTAATATATTTAAAAATAATTAAAAGAAACAAACACATTTAAACCTAATTATTTATTAAACTAATAAGGTAAATAATAATGATGAGTATGGCATTTATAATTTATTTGAAGCCATGTAAAAATATATGTATAGTCAAAATATGATTACTTGACTATGTTAAGAGATCTTCTCCACTAATATGTTTTTTTGTTTGTCAGTGGCACTTGATGTAAAATCGTTTTGTTTGAATATAATTTTACATTCATTCAAAAAAAAAAAAAAAATATGTTTTTTTGGGATAAATTACACATACATTCTATTTTTTCCTCATTATTTATATCTTTTATAAAATTATTATTTTCTATATCAGTGGTGTATGCAACTATATGTAGTTATGATTTTTTTCTTTTTAGAGAAATTTGGACAACTCAGAGATCAAAACTCTTTAATGTTTTTTTTAAATACCTAACGACACTCTAATATATATTATTGTATGCTAAACATATTTTCATAGTACATAGCCATCATTTCTAATTTTCCAACGAGTAATTTCTTTAAACTTCATATATGAACATCTAAGGTCTCAAACTTTATACTATGTCAATGCATGATGCAGCTATGCATTAAAATAAAAATTCCATATTTTCTGATTTTTCTTGAAAAATGTGTGTTAACCCCTACAAAATTTTGAATTTTCTAATAAATATTATCTATACTGTTTAGCCTCTTTAATGTTTTTTTAAAATACCTAACATAACTCCAAATTTGTAAATGTGTATGGTAAAATTATTTTCATGGTACATGACGTCATTTCTAATTTCCAAATGAGTAATTTATTTAAACTTCATATACCATCTAATAAGTGAACAAACCCCTTATGAAAAGATTTATTTTTTTTGATAAATATTATCTATACAATTTAGTCTCTTTAGTGTTTTTTAAAAATACCTAACATCACTCTGAATTTATAAACATGTATGATAAAATTATTTTCATGGTACATGGCATCATTTCTAATTTCAAATAAGTAATTTATTTAAACTTAATATACCACATAATAAGCAGACTAACCCCTATAAAAATTCTATTTTTTGGAGAAACGGAAAATCCTAAGGTCTCAACCCTTTTTACTCTCCATACTATGCCACTGCATGATGCAGCAAATCATTAAACAAAATTATCATTCTTTCTAAATTATCTTAAAATATGTGGATTAATCCCTACAAAAAGATTGAGTTTTCGGATAAATGTTATGTATAAGCCTCTTTAATTTTATTTTTTAAAAAATACCTAACCTAATTCAAAATTTATATTAATGTACTAAACTTATTTTCATGGTACATGGACATCAGTTCTAAATTTTAACTGAGAAATTTAATAAAACTCTATATACCACCAAAATCAATGAACCAAACCATATGAAATCTCTATATTCTAAAGAAATTTGGACAACTAAGGTATCAAAACTCTTTAATATTCATCATATATCAGTGTTGGATGCAACTACGCATAAATAAGAAAATTCTATATTTTTCTAATTTATCTACAAATCTGTGGGTTAACCCTTATGAAAAGATTGAGTTTTTCAGATAAATGATATTTTTACTTAAGTTTAGCCTCTTTAGTATTGTCTAAAATATTTAGACACATTAAAAGTTTATAAGAATGTATCCTAAATTTATTTTCATGGTACATCGACATCAGTTATAATTTTCCTACGAGTAGTTTAATAAAACTTCAAATACCACGTAAATCAAAGAACTAAAAACCTTATGGAATCTTTATATTCTAGAGAAATTGGGACAACAAAATTGTCAAACATCTTTAATATTCATCCTACATTTTCCTAACCACACTCCAATTTCTATATATGTTAGCTAAACATATCTTTATGGTACATGGGCATCATTTCTAATATTCCAATGATTAATTTATTTAACATTCATATATCACTTAATATGTGGATTAACCTCAATAAAAATCATATTTTCTTGTGAAATGGAAACACTTAAGGTCTCAAACCTATTTAATATTCAAATCATGAAATATATGATGCAGCTATGCATTGAAACAAAAATTGTATTTTTTATAATTTTTTTTGAAATATGTGGGCTATCCCTTACGAAAAAGCTGAATTTTTCGTTAAATACTATATATACTATTTACCATATTTCGTGTTTTATAAAAAGTACCTAAACGCTCTCCAAATTTTTATATATGTTTGCTAAACTTATCTTTATGGTAAATGTGAATCATTTCAAAATTTCCAATGATTAATTTATTTAACATTCATATAACACTTAATATGTGGAATAACCCCAATAAAAATCCTATTTTATGAAGAAACGAAAACATTTAAGGTCTCAAACCTATTTAATATTCATACTATGTCGGTGTATGATGCAGATATGCATCAAAAAATAATTCCATTTTATATAATTTTTCATGAAATATATGGTCTAACCCCTATGAAAAAGCTCGATTTTCTGTTAAATACTATATATACGATTTAGCATCTTTCGTGATGTTTAAAAATAAATGAACGCATTCCAAATTTTTATATATGTTTGCTAAACATATCTTTATGGTACATGGGCATCATTTCTAATTTCCAATGATTAATTTATTTAACATTCATATGTCACTTAATATGTGGATTAACCCCAATAAAAATCCTATTTTCTTGAGAAATGGAAACATTTAAGGTCTCAAACCTATTTAATATTCATACTATGCCAGTATATGATGCAGCTATGTATTAAAACAAAAATACCTTATTTTATAATTTATTTTGTAATATGTGGGCTAACCCCTAGGAAAAAACTGAATTTTTGATAAATACTATATATATTATTTAGCAACTTCCGTGTTGTTTAAATATACTTAACCACACTCCAACTTTTTTATATGTTTTCTAAACATATCTTTATGGTACATGAGCATCATTTCTAAATTTCCAATGATTAATTTATTTAACATTCATATATCACTTAATATGTGGATTAACCCCAATAAAAATCCTATTTTCAGGAGAAACGGAAACATTTAAGGTCTCAAACCTATTTAATATTCATACTATGTTGGTGTATGATGCATATATGCGTTAAAACAAAAATTTCATTTTTTTATAATTTATTTTGAAATATGTGGGCAAACCCCTACGAAAAAGCTGACTTTTCCGTTAAATACTATATATACTATTTACCTTCTTTCGTG